AAAGCTATTAAATTACAATTGATAATGATTGGTGATGAATAAAAATTAATCATGAATTTCTTTATTAAAAACTGTGTTAATGTAATACCAACAATCCACGCGCGGTCAAAAGCATAAAAACAACAATGTAGAAGCATTTTTAAAATATTTTATTTTTAATTTCGATAAAAATCTTGAAAAACTTAATATTAAAGAAATTAGATTCAATATGTATTTTTTAATTCAATGGGCCTAGAATAAAATTTAAGAAATAAAACGTTTTAAAAATTGCTAAATAAGATTTAGCATTATTTGAATGATTTAGAGTAGAATTTCAACTCCAGCGTATTTTTTCAGAAAAATTTAAGCTGATTTTCATTCTTCGGGAAATTATTCATGAAAACGTATTCACAATCAAGCATCATTTTAGTGGGTTTTCATAACAGTTGGATAGTTATATCAAATAAACTATATTTCCCTCAATGTTTTTTTAGACTACTCAACTACGAAGGATTTCATGGTAAAATAAGGCTCAATTCACGATAACGATGATGATTACGCTCAATTATCAATTAGCTCATATCTGCTAACTTCATTTTCATATCGGAACGACTTCATGGATTTTTATCTATAATCCAACATTACTTTTGATTACAATATACGTTATATTTAGTGGATACACTTGTTTGAATAGACATTTATGTTTTAAAACAGCATAATTTTCGCCCACCGACATATGTTTTTCGAGAATCTTTACGCAAACACAAATATATATATATATATATATATATATATATATATATATATATATATATATATATATATATATATATATATATATATATATATATATATATGCATGCTTATAAGGATTTAAATTTCATTTTTGAGCAATAGCAATCATTATGTATTTGAAACTAATAACTATAATATTTTAGATATTTATTTACAATTTGATAAACAACCCTCGTGTTACATAATAAAATCTCTCATCACCCAATAAGTTACTGTAAATATTATTACTACAGCCAATATTATAATCTCAAACTGAAATATTTTAATTTTTTATTATATAAATATAAATCTACTCTGACAGGTTAACATTTTTTTCGTGAAAACATTTGACTTGAATAATGAAATCTGATATAGTGTCTATGTGCGATTTATGTTCAGAAAGTCTATAATAACACGTGAACCAGTTGCGTAACATTGTCAACCAATAAGATGCGACTTTATTGCACAAGCATAAACAGACGTTGTCTTTGGATTTACTCAGTCGTTATTGAGATGTCTCTGATTGTAAAATATAAGTGTCGCATTCCAATGAACAAGCAAGTAGATCCTTCACGTTTTGTGCAGGACCTTTGGCAAAACATTGTATCATCTTTGTTCTGATTTGCCCCAAAGTTAAAAACGCCATAAATCTGATTAAGGTGAAATGAAAGAAAACAAACTTTTGCCCACTGTTTTATCAAGAGAAAAAGACACTGAAATGAGTACGTGCGGCCACAGGAAGAGCCTTTTTGAAGTCGACCATTGTCTTTAGTAGGCTACATATTTGCTAATATTAAATGAATGGATGTTATCTGCACAAACCACAGACACACACATATACACATAGGAATATGTGGGGGGAGCTGACATAACGGTAAACAGAACAAAGCATAAATGGTGTCAGGGAAGTGAGTTCAATTTTCAGCAGATGTTTATGTTCACTTCGCACTAATGACCTCGAGAAAGGCATAATCCATTTTTCCTATATACCAGGGATAGATTATTCACTTCTGCTAATACTTTGTAAATCAAAACAATCTGGCGTATTATTTGAATCGCCAATTAATTTCTTTGCTCAGAGAAATGCCATCAATTAACAATAAAAATCTTTTTTTTTTAATTTTCACACAGCTCTTTTATTTCATTCACTCTGTCGATTTGAAACTTAAATATGCGTTACTTCGACACGAAATCACAGTTATGAAGCACCCAATGAGGATCGAACTATTTTTTTTTTTTTTTTGTTTGCTTTCTAACCACTGCATCTCGACGGGTACTTGTAGATAAAAAAAAAAAACAATAGAAAAATAAAATTTGATGAGTCATAAGAACTTTTGTTAGAGAGCAAAGTTCTCATCCAAATACCAATTAGCTATGAAAAGAAAAGGAATTTTATTAATTTTAGTTGTGTCAATAATTAAAACTTCAACTCTCCTTCCTTCGTGTTTCTTTTTCTCTCTAATAAGAAAGTTTTGAACCAAAATAGATAGAAAAGCATGGAAATTTCTCTTCATTATTTGCGTCAGAATATTGGCTTGCATAACAGAATGTCCCAATTAAAATCTTATGATAATTATCTTTTGCTTAATTGACTTGCTTAATTAGTGCAAGAAAGAAATTAACGACCTTTGAATTTTTTTTTTCATTCCAACTTTCTAAGTGATGTGGATCGTCTGGTAATAAAAAAGTGTCAGTTCTCTAACAGGCAATTAAATCATAATATATCTTGCACGTATCCAGGCTTTGGAGTCTATCACACCTGAAAATTTGTATCATATTAAATAATTACAAAATCTACCGAACGTTAAAATTTTAATATTGACTGAAGCAATCGAAACTCCTCTCTCCTTTATCAATTATGACTGTATTTAATTATTTTTAATATATGCCTCTGCTTAGTGGTTTAAGTAGTTATTTATTTCCTGTCGATGTCAGCGCTAGGAATTCGAAAATCGGAAAAATGCCAAGAATTTAAATACTGATTTTCAATATAAGCACACTTTTTTCCACTCAGAAGTTTATACGCTATATTTCTACTCCAATCATCTGGCCTTGTCCCTGACTAAGCTATACTTAGTGTATAGACACACACACACACACATGTCCGAGGAACATGGTAATCAATATTTGATGAAAGAGTAAAAAAGTAGCGTTGATTTTATTATTTCAAAAATTATTTCAGTCATTATCAGAACAATATGAAAATGGTTTGTTATATTGAATTCCAGATAATAAAATATCAATGGATAAAATAACCTACAAATAGAAAATAGAGATTCTATCTTCTTTTCGCAAAAAGCATTATTAATTCCAATCCAATGCTATGTCCATTTTAAAATAAATCCAACATGATGGCATGTTACATACATCTACATTCTCAAATTGGGCATAAAAATTAAATGCGATTGTACATCGTGGTATGGGGAATTTTCTTATAACAGGAATTTATATATGTATATAACACGCACAAAGATACACGCAAGTTTAGCGCCTCACTGTAGAGTATTGTTTATATAGCTAATCACGCAAGCCATTAGCACATTCCTTCCTCATTCAATGTTTCATGTTCATAGTCTTATGCTAGAGTAAATTAAAATTATTAAATCTATACATGATATAAGTTTGTCATATTTACGATACTTTTTTCTTCTTTTCAGGTTGTGCGTTTTTGACGTACTGCAACCGTGAAAGTGCACTGAAGGCACAAGCAGCTCTCCATGAGCAGAAAACTTTACCTGGGGTAAGGGAATCTCTACTTCTTCCTTTTCTTTCAATCTGTTCGGGTAAAAAAGTCAAATAAAGTTGCTTTAATTTTCACCATTCTCCAACCGACAAAAATAAATGAACAAGTGAAGAGTCGAAAAGAAATAATCCTTGCAGTATTTCAATTAATGGTTGTTTGCTTTAATTTTATGTACACAGAACTTCTTTTTAAATTTATACAATTTCAGGTACAAGCGAATTCTCTTCAAATATTTTCCTGGTTCCAGAATAAGTTTATATGAAAAAAATCTCGTCATTGAGTGATTTATGTTAGTTTTCCAGCGCTTCAGGATGTATATTCTTTGAAAATGAGTCTCGCAGTGCCAAGTCAACTCTGTACTCACAAAAGTCAACATTCTTCACTTTTTCATCGATGAGCCACTCGAGGTAGAGAATTATTGATTGTGGCACGTAAGAGGATGAGGTAAGAAGTGTAATCTAAGAGGATATGTAGAAAAGATAAGAGTTAACCTGAAACTTAGAGGTTAAGTCTGTAGTTATGGAGGAAACATCTTTTCGAGTGTTCTTAGTAAGCTGTCCGAATGGAACTTCGTTCTTAATAACGGAATACAAAGGGAATATGGATGATTCATTCCAATGTACACAGCATGGTGGGTCTTACATGTGAAGGTCAGGGCTGGTGGAACTGTCAGATCATTGGTCATTTAGTACTTGAATATAGTTCTAAACTTTAAATATCATATGTTACCTACATATTCTGATGTCAGCACACGATAAAAATAGTGCTCAGATCGAAAAGGTTTAGAAGGAATAATGATGTATGTAAGAAAGTGTAACTACGAACAGAAACGAGTGTGGAAAATGGTGCCTCTGAAGATAAATTGAACTACGTTATTTTTATTTATTTGTTTTCATATGCCAGATTTATCGTTAAAACCAGATGCACAGTCAGCTCATCAAAGAAAATAATCTGGTCTAAAATGGCAAGTATATATCTTCACATAAATGATTGTATTTTCTTAAAAACTTTCATGAGTTTGTATACTGGGTGACATTTAAAAATAAATAAATTTAAATTATATTTGATGATTATATTTTTTAATCAGCAAATTAATTTAGAAAATATGAATTTTACGTTCGATTCAAATAAAATCGACAACAATAAAAAAAAAAAAAAAAGTAAATTTTATCCAAGCCATTTCATGGATTTTCCTGGATATTGATAGATTTTTCGTTTTGTTCTACACTATAAAAGAAATGTTATGCTGGAACCAAAAGAATTGAATGATTGATTATTTTCTACGGTTTATCAACCCTGTGCAAGTTATTTAAAGCCAGAAGATATTTTAAGACTGTAAAATCTTTTGGGGGGATAATAACGATTTATTTATTTCTCACTAATTAACCCATAGCTGGAGAGAGAGGATACTATTTGCGAAAAAGTGAACGCACCAAGAATTGGAACACGGCTCTCCGATTAATAATTCTGAGTCATTATCTATTACACCACTCTCACGTCAAAGCTTACAGCTCCTGGTATTCCTAAGCAGTCACCCATCTAAGTACTGGCACAGCTCAACGTTGCTTAACTTCGGTGATTGTACTGGAACCGGTGTTCCCTGTAAGCAGGAACCAAAGTAAGAAAAAAAAATAATGTCATGGAATTCCATGTATAGATATTTATTTAGTTTGGACTTGTGTACAATTCAGTATAGGAAGATTGGCTATGCCAAGAAAAACAGAAAATAGCTTTGAGAAAGTAATTCTATGACGTTGTATAATAAAGGTATTATGCATTCTTCTTCTATGTGCTATGTCCCTTCAGGACGTGAGAAATCATGGCTCTCCACTACTTCCTGTTCTTTGTACCTCTTAGTAACATTTGTGTTTTTGCTATCTCTCCTAATCCCTGTTCTGACAGGGGTTATTCGCTGCTTTCTTTTGTCCTTCTTGTCATGCGAGTGTCGAATTCTCCAAACCCTAAAAATTTCAAGTGCCTCTTTCTGATTCTAAGTATAAGTAACATTTTTGTTTTCACTTTCCCTAAAATTTTCTCGTTGTTCACATGTTCAGTCCATAGGATTATTAGTCTCTTTCTGTATAACCACATTTCTGTAGTCTGTAAGGAGATTGTCAAGTATTCATTGCTATATAGTTCATAATAGTTCAGTACACTTTTCTTCTTTTCTAACGAAATTTTCCTGTTTCTTAATAACTTTGCTTAGCTTTTGTATGGCATCTTTCGCTATTCCAATGAGATTTCGGTGTCGCATCTTCCATCCTCTGTTAAAACACTTCTTAGATATTTAATTTTTTTATTCTTGCTTGATTTGAGCGTCTCCAATTCCTAGTTTGCATCTTGTGCTAATCCCTTTTGCTGACATCCATGCATTCTGTCTTCTTACAATTTATGTCTAATCCTTTCTTATCGCTTTCATTTATTGACTTCTCTTTTTAAAAGTTTCTATTTAAAGTTTTAAAAAGTTAATTTTAGTTTAATAAAAACAATGTGTTGTGAAGTTCGAAACTTGGGAGAAAAGTTAACAATAAAACAAATTGGTTTGCTCCAACAACAAACAACAATTCAAATAATCTTAACTTTTGCTTGGCATAAATATTTACTAAATCTATCCTATTTTGGCTCCAGGCTACAAGTGTGATTGATCTAGTGACTCTGATCGTATAGAATCGCTAAATATTTCTCTATCTCTGCGCATCCGTATTTGCTTAACATAATTCTAAAGAACAACATTTGGTATTGTTGCTATTTATGTAACAGTCAGCGGATATAGAAACCTTTCTTAGAAGACACTTTCTTTTTAACCACTTCTCAAAATATCAGTTATATTAATCTGAACTATTTCTTTCCAAAGAATTCGGTTTTTCAGGGAGAATTTTGTCATGTTAGACTCGGTTTTTCGATTTCTTGGATCAAATTGTTTTTCATATGTTCTGAATAAAACCAACTCAAACCACATGATTTACAAAACTCTTCTCCGATTATTGATCTCTTGAGATTTGATTGGCTATTTTTGGTATTGGATCAAATTTTTCGTATTGCGTCTCAACTGATGCATGACTCTATGATGAAATTACTTGAATTCTTTTTTTTCAATTTTATTCAAATCTTAGGAAACCCGAAACTCGTTTTTATAACGAGCTTAACTATCATGCTATTGGGATCAATTCTTTGAAATCAAACAGTAGCACTTTCATTTAATCATTTAATGTCATGAAATATTTCTTTTTCATCTTTTCCTAGTGGAGTAATGATTAACTAACTTTCTTTTATCGTGTGAAAAATACAGAGGAGTAAGTCAAATATCATTTTAAAAAAATAAATCTTTCCTAGTATTCCAGTCGCCACAATCGACTCTCGTGGCTACCTTCCTCGCTTCTGAAACTAGAAAAGGTTACAGCGTGCAAAGGTAACTTCTACAAACAAAAAAGTCTCTTCTGTTACAATTCCACAACTACTACTTACAAGCAACGGTTGCAGTGTATTCATTTTAAAAGGTCGTTTTCTTTTCTTCTTTCCCCTCCCATCCCAGAAAGAGTAATTTTAAAATCAAATTCTCAATTATTTTTCTAATAAAAATACGATAAATTGATTTTCCCTCAAGATAAATCTGCCAAGCCCAATTTCTTTACTGCACTTATCAATACTTTAAACTGAAATTGTTCCTTTCACACCCATCTCAATTTCTTTTCCCAATTCTTATTCATGGTTTAAATTTTGTACTGGATAAAGTTTATTGATAATCAGTTCAATTCTTTTTTCTTAAAAGATCATCCAGTCTTTGTCTCGAAAGCAATATCAGTTTTTAAATTCATGGTTTTTTTTCTTGATCTCGGAAATCACTGGCGCCGATGGGAAATACGTAACTACCTCAGCCACTAAAACCACCATTAAATTATTACATCCGTCAACACTGATAAAGAAGAGAGCAGATTACACAATTATGCTGAACCTCTGTCTTGTTACGATCAAAATGTTTATTGTTATTTCTAAATATTTATTGTTATGTTCTAGAATAATCACCCAAAAGTGTCAAGCCAGTGACCTTTCTGATTTACTTGATCCTAAAAAGCCGTGATATTTAGTCAATGCTGATTAATCTATCTATCTATCTATCTATCTATCTATCTATCTATCTATCTATCTATCTATCTATCTCTTCTCTCTCTTGTTATCTCTTTCACACACACAGGTACACGCACGCACACACAGAAAGCTTATGATTGTTCTTTGTTTTTTCTTCTCTATCGTGGTGATCAGTATTTGAGCATGCGCAGTTCGCCTCGGCATTCTCTCGTCTCAAAAAGATCTGACAGACTCTGACAGGTTAGCAGTGATGTAATATAGTATTTCGTCTGCCCTCTGCTTTCTCCGTTTCTATCTCCTTGTCTTCCTCCGCTACCATCCGATGTGTCCACCTCGACTGACAGAGATCCTGTTTTCTGTGATTGGTGATCGCTCAATATCGATTACATTCTGATTTGATTGGCTGCACTACTCTGCCGGAAACGCTTTCCTCCACTTTCAATATCTTAGCGCTCCCTCTCCAACTCCTGCTACCACTTCTTATTCTACTTTATTAACTTCTCTCTCTCTCTCTCACTCTCTCTCTCACTCTCTCTCTCTCTCTCTCTCTCTTTTCCACCTCTTTTTCTTACTTGTAAGCATTTTTCGTTTTTATAGCTTAACTCTCATCATCTCTCGTCCTCCATCTTATTCTTTGTCCAGTCAGTTATAAAACCCACCCAACCAACGTTTACATCTTCCTTCTGCGTCTCTTTCACCTCACTCCCACATCTGGTTTATATCAGTCTATTTGGATGGAAGCCAAGTGTATAAAAGATTTTTGCCTCCCTGAACTGGGGGGGCTGACAGTTATGTATCCTGCCAAACCAGAGTTCAGGGTTAACTTCTCTCTCTGTTATATCTCATCATCAAGCAAGTGAAAGATCATTACACCCTGCAACCATCCACCTCTTGGCGCCAGATTGGCATTGTCTTACTGCAAAGCCCCTTTTTCTCCAATAACCAAATCTTGTTCGAACGCAAAACGGAGTTTATTACTGTTTTCGTAACAAACTAACATTTAAATTAACAATTCGTAAGCAATTTATAAGTCTATTATTCGTCCTGGCTTTGGATATTGCTGTCACATCTGGTCTACAACAATATATAATATCTCGATGTTATATATTTACAGATTCTTGATATAATCCAAATAAGAATCTGCAATGTCATTGATCCTGACCTGATATCTCGGCTTCTGTCACCTTCCCATCACCGTAATGTAACTTCCCTGTAGCTTTTCTACAAATACTTTAATGGTAATTGTTCCATTGAAATTTCCTTTATGGTACCTAGATTGGCGGCAAGGCCTCATCATTTTATAGTTGAAATGGTTAGATGTAACTGTAAGTTTTATGCTAACAGTTTCTTCTATCGCACTTCTTGCTTGTGGAAATCTCTTCCGACTTCTTGCTACCTCGTTAGCTTTGATCTTCAAAAACTTAAATAGAATGTCAGTCGTTATATCCTGCATTCTTAATTCTTATTCTTTTATTGCTCTCTCCTTAATAGCATTTTTTTTTCTCATATTCTCTAACACTCAGTAATCCCATGCGTCTTTATTGAGTTCCTTAGGGTGAAATGATTTTTAAAAATGCTTAGAAATTGAATTTATTTTAAAAGAAATTTTTGCAAAGAAGAAAACTTTAATTTAAAAAAAATGAACGAAATTTGTCAAAAATGTCAAAAGGGAATTGATTTTTAACTGGACGATACAAAACACCTGCAATCATGAAAACAAGAAAAGAAAATAATATAAAAACAAAAGATACTTTAAAAGAACGAGATACTTGAATATTTTAATGCTTTTTTTTTTAGTAAATTTCCACTCCTCACCTCTACAAAAAGAAGTCAAACATACAGCAAATTCACCCGCTTCTGTAAACATTTTGCAGGGTGGTAGGCTAGTTTCTTATAAACTTGGGCATCTGCGAATTCTCGCAACTTTCTTCTAAGTCAAAAGAATTCTATTTTTGAGAAAATGTTTTACGGTAATCATCTGCGATAGGGTTTCAGTTCACTGGATTTAGTAGATGTGACCAAGGCAAGAGCTATTAATTAATCCTAGCTGGAAAGAAAAGCAACAGATTAATACCATTCTAAGGGATTATGTGCGAAAGCAACAACCTCGGATGGAATTTGAACTCGGCATACCTATCACATAGTCTGCGCCGATAACCAGTATCCCATTTAAACAACCATTATTCAAAATCGAACCAAAATACCAACACATATTTAAGACCCTGTGTAAAATTACTACCTTGTAATTATAAATTATTTGCGAACCAAGCGATCTCATTGTAAAATTTAATATTAATTAGTCGTAATATACATTATACTTATAGTGTATAAATTCAAGATTTTTTTAAATTTTGGTGATGAAATCAAGATACCCGCTTCCAGACTACAGAATAAGATACACGGTTTTACTGCCGGTGATATTTGATATCCTTTTACCAATAGACTTTACGATGACTCCTGCTCTAATTTAATATTAAGGAAAAACCCGTTTTAGACAAATCATATTTTGGTTTTCAATAGAGTTTCAATTTAGAGTTATCAACCCAGACATTTATAGACTTTATATAACTTGAATATATTGGATAGAAACGATCCCTGTTAAGCCATTGTTGAAATGTTGGCTTCATTATGAAAACTTTTCTCTTTCTATTTTAGTACATAAACTTCTTTCAGCTTTATAATCTTTTATTTCTTCTTTCGATTGAGAACGCAATAAACGCGCCCAGATTGTTTTTCTTCCCCATTATCCCTCCTGCGTTTTGTCGCCTGTTTTCTTTTTATTTAGATTTTATATATTTTTGTAATTTCTGTCAATTATTTGCCTCGCGCTAGGCAACATGATGAATGCATCTGGGTAACATATTTAGTCTGGAATAACTATGGAAGAACGACAAGAACATAATAAAATGATCTTTTAAAAAAGAAAATAAGTACGCGCTTAAGTCAAAGAGCAACACAAAATTGTTATTCGCTTTCTTTAGATTCAATCGACATTTCAATAAGATATTCACGTACATCTATATGCTAATATAAACGCGTGAGAGAGCAAATCGTATTCATTGTAGAGATAATGTAATGAACTTATGATCGTTAGAAGGCAAAGGAAGCCCGTCATTTTATTTCTGTACCAAGTAATAAAATAGCAAAAGTGACCAACTTATAAGAAGTTAGTGGTAGAAAAAATATGACAAAAGCTAATGTACATATTTACTAAGATTATTACAGCTTGGCATGGTGACATTATGGTGGGATAACCAGCTCGGATCAAACTTTCAATGGCTTGCGAATCAAAATTGTGAATCAGTGAAGCTTATTACCCGATAGCTATCACAGGTTGTAAAATAAACAATTGTCACGTTAGAAGATTGTATAGCATAATTTTCGATAGAAGGACCCTGAAAATCAGTAGTTGAATTTTTAAGCTCGAAATTTGGCGTTATATGTAAATTCATTATCGTGTAAGCTATCAAGAAAATCTATCGCTGGAGAATATAATGGATGACCAAACAAAATTTGAGAGGTTTTGGTTCCCAAAGAATGACCAAAATGAAAGGCGTTATGAATTAAACAGTGGCACTAGCAGTTTTGCTTCGGTCATGTTAACTTCATGCAGTGGAATTTTTGGACCCGAAGACGCAGTCTGTTGTGGTTAGAGGTTATTCTTTTATTATCATCATCATGGAATCTGACAGGCTGCATGAGAATGCTTTCTGAAGTCGCGTGAAAAAGAAAGAAAATAGAATTGTTGATCTTTATCTATAGCGTTCGTTCTTTTTCATCCTACGCTTGCTGGACGCCTTTTCTCGTTGAGTTGTCACTTTTGCCAATCTGTCGAAATACTTATGCCGTCAAGGAAGCTGTTTTCTTTTCGCCCATTGACCATTGGTGTTGGTGAATATGTCAGACTATTTCTTCCATGTTACGCTACTGTACTCTGAACTTACACTTTGGTAAGGAGCTGTACAGTTCTAACCGAAACAGTTAAAAGCTCAAAAAAAAGTCAAATCATATCGATAAACGATACTTTTTCATGTTCGCAAAATAGAAAGTGATTATTTTTAAATAAGTAGAAATTAGTAATAACAATATGAATTGTATTTGGTTCAATATAAAAAGGATTTTGACAACAACAAAAACAAATAAAATTCCGTTCATACTTCACTATCTATTCACAAATTAATCAGTGTTAATTTTTCTATTTTTTAAAACTATCACATGAACAAAATTATCAAAACAAAGTGCTGCAAATGCATTCTATCATTAGTTTCGGATTGATGTATTTGGAGTCAGTTGGATTTTTATGAAGACGACGCCTGACTTCATAAAATTTTCCCCGTGCCAAGAAGCAAAGTTGTTCCTTCGTTCAGAATTAAGCAAACAAATGCGCTTTGGTTTTATTTCGTATAATTTATGTTGAAAAATAATATTTGCTGCGTAAAATAAATCCATTTTTGTATTATTATTGATTGATCTAAGTGTGTATATATTGGGGAGTTAGTTGAAATATGAATGAAATCCGAGAGAATAAGGAATAAGTATGAAATCATTATAGATTTGATATGTTTCACTACTTATTCAAATCCATTAGTTATTTTTGGAATGGAATGATTCGGGGTTAAATTTCAATTTTTTAAATTCTATGGTATTTTGTTTTTATTACTTGTGTAGATATCACGTGTTTATCGTGTTGAAACATAGAGAACATTAAAGTTATTCAATCATATTGTTGTGCGTAATATTTGAATAATGTGTCGTTTATTAGAGTAACAACACCAGATGTAAATCAATGAAAAAGGAAACTTTCAAAATCAATACCATGTGAAAAGCATTCATTCAAAATATGTAAATGACCTGCAAATAGAACTTGAACCTGCTACATCAGTTCCATTTTCTGATTAATTGTGTATTTCATGAAAATGAAATAAAATAACCAACTCACTATCAGCTTCAGAAAACACGTGACTATAGACAGCCACTTAGTTGAAAATTATTGTCCGAGTGATCTAAAATGACACGAAGCGATTTTTGTTTTTGCGATTTAGACTCAATGATTGTCATAAGGCTTCTAAATATAATTACTTGGTTAATGTTTCCACCCTTTGAATTTAGGTTGAAGAACTGAAGAGGACTCCTCTTGAAAGTCAAATAAACAAAAACCTATTTTTTCCGAATGGTCAGTCTACTACTTGTCGAGTTCGTATCAGTTATATATATATATATATATATATATATATATATATATATATATATATATATATATATATATATATATATATATATATATATCACAGCGTTCAAACTTCCACATTTGCCCATTTTTTAGCCTACCAAGATTTTTCTTTCGCATCTCCCTCTTCAAAGTAACTAAATTTCCATCTCTGTTCCAGTTACCAAACTTTCTGAATGATTCTTCGAGAATGGGAAACACACCAAAAAGAGATATAAAAAAAACTCGATCTTCTCAAAAAGCGAAGTAATTTTTCCCACCCATATTAGCAGCAGCAGCAGCAACAGAAACAAGCAAATAACAAATATGAACAAAACAAGTTTAGCGAAGCTTGAACATCATAAATGCCTTTGGAGTCTATTTTTACTGTTCAGACATGGGGAATATGATCGTTGGTCGGCGTTGCTTCATTACGTGTCGGGGTGGAAGTGGATGGGGCCAAAACAGGGTTAGGGGAAAAGCAGTGGAGAAAGTACATGATGGTAAAAAGTTTTCCACTTTTATTCCCTAACATTATTCTTGCCATCGGACAATAATTTTTGTTTTTCTGTTTTTGCTATAATCTTTCTTTCTTTTCTTTATTTTCTTTGCTTTTCTTATTTCGTTCTTTTCTTTCTTCATACATTTCTTTTCTTTTTACTGCCCATTCTTTCTTCATTTTTTCTTCTTTCAGGATTTTCTTTTATTTTTCAATCTTCAATCTTTTTACATATTTCTCGACTCATTTTCCTTCATTTCCTTTTTTTCCTTTTTCCATTTATTTTCTTCCATTTTTTCTTCTTCCTTTTATCTTTCTGTATTATTTTTTCTTTTTTCCATTATTCCTTTTCAGGTCCATTTCTTCTACATTTCCTTTTTCTTTCTTCCATCTTCCATTCTCACTCTCCATTCTTTCTTAATCCAATATTTTTGTCCAGTCTGCAATAAAGTTTTCCTTTTATTTGCCATTAATTCTTTCCATTTTCAAACCTCACACTCTCCACCTCCTCTTCTTGTTACTTCCTTTTTCTCACCATTATTCCAACGACCTATTTCACTACCTTTCGTCGAAGATTTTTACAGTACACATTGTATATAATGTAGCGAACCTAACCAACTGACATCTTATTTATTTGTTGTCTACTTGCATCTAAGTTGTTTCCACATGGAGCCGAGTTTCATTCTATTGATTTCCCACGTCAAGTGAAACTAGCTGCACGGTCGCTTTCACTTTCGCTTTCATCAACGCGTTGCCTTTCTTTTCCGACTCTAATTTCGCTTCATTCTTTCCATCACTTTTATTATTTTGTCAGTTTTACTTTTATTTTCATCACCACTACAAAATGTATTTCACTTATATTTTTTGTTTCTTTTTTCATTCAACAATCTTCTTCTTTCCACTAACATTACGTTTTTCATTATTTTTGTTGTTATTGTTGTTCTGCTTTCAACTTTCTCTTTTTCTCTTTTTTCATTTCCACTTTTAGCAAAAGGCTTTCATGTCTCTCTTTATTGAAATCAACATGTTTTTTCTTCCCTTACTTTTGTTTCCATTTTCACTTGTCCATTTCTTCTCATGTCAATGATTTTCCCTTCGAATCTCGCGGACAATTTAGCTTTCAATATTCTCTACAAGTACTCTTTGCCGTTTCTTCTTCTTCTTCTTCTTCTTCTTCTTCTTCTTCTTCTTCTTCTTCTTCTTCTTCTTCTTCTTCATTTCTACTACTAATGCTGCTGCTGATGCTGTTGTTGCTCTTACTGCCGCTTCTTTTATTCTTAGTCAAAAGTTGATTCTGTTTCACGCTTATTCCTTTCCTTCCTTTTTTGCTTTCCGTCAAATTTTCTTGCTTCATTTATTTTCCTTCTTTTTTTCGTTCTCTTTTACTTACGCAATAACAGATTTTTACACTGTTTCACGGTAATTTTAATTCTCGTCCTCATATTTATAAGAAATCTATTTTACTTGTTCCTTTCTTTCCAACTTTCACAGTCAATTTCACTTTAATTTTGAACTTTCACTTTTTCCTTTCGGCCTGATGTCTACTTTCCTTTTTATGTTTATTGCTTTTTTCTTCTTTCGTTCATACTTCATTGAGCTCTACCAATCGCACATGCTCCTATCAACTAGCATCCTAGATTAGTTTTTTTTTTCTTCTCATCATGGATGAGTCATTTTTTCAAGACAAATATTTTCTTTTGTATTTTCTTGTTTTATCATATTCTCATTCTCTCTCTCTCTCTCTCTCTCACACACACACACACACACACACATACACACACACGCACACACACGCACATACGCATTGCTCTTGATTTCCTTTTGTTTATTTCTTTCTTCTTCTAATGTGTTTTGATTTCTTTGCCGACGTACTTTTAAATTCTCATATTTTCTTAGTGCGCAGGAAATGCCACAGTTTTTCTCCTGAAATGAAATTATTACGTGTGAAACAAATAAAATTCAATGAGTTTTTTTTATTTGTGTTGTTCAAAGAAAAGTTTTATAATCGACAAAATATGTAAAGACGACTAGACTTGGATACACCCGTATATATTTATAGTTGATCTGGACATAGAAATCAATATTGCATGGTAACTGACAGTGACACGTCTTAATATATGAAGAAAGGTGGATTGATTTCTATATATGGTATACGTATTGCGGTTTTATGAATTTACTTTGGCAGCATGAGGCCAATTTCTCAAATGTGTACTTTTCTTGCTTCGAAAATTAGTATTCAAACTTGTGGTCCTTACTCTAAATACTTGGTGCTCAAAACAAAGTGGCTACTGTTTCGACCAACGAGCAAGCAGTGAAATTTATTAAAGCCAATGTAGAAAAAGAAGGAAAACAAAACAAGAAGATGAGAAAGAGTTTTTAAAATGTGGCGACAGAAAGAGAGAAAATATAAGGAAGTCAGTGAATAGGGGAAATATAGATTTCAATAAAAAAAACATTTCCCGGTAATTGACAGAATTCGCTTTCTCTTATACTTCATCATGAAGGAATTATTCATGTTTTGTAATGAGGGTAAAGAATAAAGGCAGAGAAGACAAGAGGGGGAGTAAAATGTCAAATCTTCTACCGTTTACCCTTTTCATTCAATTTTTAAATAAAAATAACTTTTCTTATTTTACAAAAATAAAAAAAAAACGCTGAGAATGTTTTTTGAGATGATTTCCTTCTCTATACACATTTCATTTGTGGGTTGTTTTTTTTTTTTTTCATTTATTTAGTAATTTTTTAACAGGAGTAGGGGTTTATCCCTTGTTCTCTTTTTAAGAACGGGTTTCCGATTCCTTCTAAAGATTACTTCAACTCTATACTTCTAACGTTACTGTCTGAACCCTAAAATTTTATCTACTTTATTTTTATTTTTTATTTTTACTTATTCTCTCTCTCTCTCTCTCTCTCTCTCTCTCTCTCTCTCTCTCTCTCTCTCTCTCTCTCTCTCCTCAATTGGTGTAGATAGGTTCTCCTGTCGTCTAGTTCACACTCCTTCTCGTTTTTTTGAAGCAGGTCTAGAGTTTCATCCCATTGTTCATTGTTTAGGATCGGGTTTCCTGTTCCTTCCAAACGCTTTTCATTCTCTTTCAAACCCAGTAGCCCCTTGCGTCTTAGTGGCGTTATCGCCTTACATGGGGCGAATTAAAAACTAAATTCCCATTTTACAATTATTGCATGGTTAGCGTTTGTGTGTGTGTGTCTTTCCTTTTATGACGGATTTTCTACAATTTTTCCCGCTGTTACTTTTATCTCTTTTCTTTTCTCATTTATTCCCCATTTTTATATTTTATCATTCATTTTTTTCGTTTTTCTTTATTTTATTTGTTCTTCTTTATAATGATACATTTTATTTGTAAAATCTTCCATTTACCCAATAGAAAAATCGTCTTTTTGCTTATTTTTATCGTCATATTCCACGAATTTCAATCTTTTCTTTCAGTCTTTCTTTCATTCTTTCTTTCAGTCTTTCTTTCTTTCTTTCTGTCTTTCTTTCTGTCTTTCTTTGAAAATTCCATCAAAGGTAGGTCGATGCCCGTATGTATGACAATATATATATGTGTGTGTGTGTGTGTACGTTGGATGCTCTGGAACCAATTCTCCCTTTTTTACATTTTAATTGTAATCCTATTTTTTAATAAAATGAACCACAGGAACAAGTTTTCTCAAGTTATGATAAAAAAAAGGACGTCATCACAAATAACTTCACCTAAATAAAAGAAGCAACGAATACTTTAAATATGTCTTTTCATTCGTGTACTCATTTATATTTTCATATATTTTCATTTATTCTTTCATTCTTGTATCTTTCATATTTTCATTTGTTTATTATTTTATTAGGTTTTTTCTTTTATTTTATTACTATTCATTTATTCTGTTCTGCTCTAATTCCCCTTTTTCTTATTTTTTTCACATTTCTTGCAAATTTTTTTTTCACAAAATTGTTTCATCAACTTCCTCTGATCAAGTAACAAGTAATTATGATTTTTATATAAGCCAAATGTTTTTCTTTTTTATTTGCTTTTCTTTGAATTAGTTTATTTATATTTCAATATTATTACTTTTCATTTTAATAAAAAGGAAAACTATGACACGCCATTTTTTCTTTCTTTTTTAAATTTATTTTTCATTTTTCAGAAGAGCGCCTTTTATTTTCAAATCCTTTTTCCCTCGGGCCAAACATTTCTCCATTTAATCAGTTCTTATTGTAATTCTTTTTCGTCTTTTACTCGTCTGCTATGAAACTCCTCTGATCTCAAACAACATGGCTGCTTGCAAAGAAAAAGAAAACTATAATAATATGTTTCTTCCGTTTTCCCCGCTACTCCATGGAATTTTTGATTCCCCCTCAGTTGTTCCACTCACCCCTACGCCCTGTACGGTTTCTTTTTTTATCTCAAAAAAATAAAAAAACATGGAAATATTATAAGCATTCTATTCATTTTATCTCTTCGAACTTGAATGATCTGCCTTTTTGTTTTCTCTTTTATTTTCTCTTTCTTTCTCTGTCTCTCTCTCACTCTCTCTCACTCTCTCTCTCAAAAATATATATATTCTTTTTGAATAAATACGCATAGAAGCGCAAATACTTCGATGAAATTCTTTTGTAATCTTTTATTCCTCAGTTATGTGTGTGTGCGTGTGTGTGCGTGAACTATAATATAAATATTTCATCTGATAGTTTGTCTACATGACTGCATATGTATGTGTGCATGTATGTACATGTGTGCGTATGTGTGTGTGTGCGTGCGTGTGTGCATGTACGTATGTATTTGTAGTTCTGTGCATTTAGTGATTTTGTATAAACTGAATACAGCATAAGATTAGTGCACGTGTTATATCGTTTGAATCCCGAAATGAGTAAATTTTAAAATAAATTTCAACCCTCCCAGATTATATATTCTTAATTTATGAAGCAACAACCATGTTCCGAAATGAAACGGGTTAGGTGGAAAATATTGATATGGTAAATGTTGATAGCATCTCTGATGATTATTTTATAATGAAGAATAAAAGTTATAATAAACTAATGTTTATTATTGATGCATCTCTTGTAAATGTGAAGAAATTATTTTTCAATGCGACAAAAACATCTACACAAAAATATCTTGATATCTTTCCATCTTACAAGGATTCTTTGTAAACATTTCGAATATTTCATATAAAGAAGTGTTCTTTAAAATATCGAAATGTTTTCTCTTTCTTATCTGTTTAAACTGTTTTTTGTATATTATGAAACTGTTTAATGTTCAAGTATAATCACAGATGATATCAATAAAATATCTATGTATAATGTATGTAAGCAAACAAATTATAAACCGAATATTCCAGACTCTTGATTCAGTTTGATTCTTCCGATGATAAACGATCCGCTTTCTTTAGTATTTTAACCGGTTAAAAATGTTAAAGAATTTTAGGCCGAAATCATTTCAGAAAAACATAATAAATTCATTAACGGTGGCAATTTTATTTTTGGAAAACTACGAAATACTCGGCAAACGTGTTCATTTCTCTAAAGTGAAATGCTTTTTTAATCCACACTTACTAGTATGATCTTATCAATGTCTATATTTTGCTAATTATTCCTTCTCTTCTACCTACCTGACTACTATAAATCTGTTAATGATTTGTACCCTCCTACAATCAGTGAAACTCGTTCATTATTCTACCGATGTCACTTCAATTTTGATTTATTTCTGATTATGTTAAGTGTTTAAATCTTTGTCATTTACTCAAACTTTATTCATTGATGAAATAAAATTACCCAAATCCGAATTTAACTAACTTTACGGCAAGAACTCTAATAGACGAGAACTTAAGAAATGATCTCATAAAGGAATTTTAACGTTCGTAAATTTCTTCAAAGGATAATTTATTTTTATTATTGTTTGTTTGCCCTTTCTTATTTCTAAGCAAATTATTTACTTAACAGGACACATTTTTAAAAGCGTAAATAACTTAATTCTTGTAGGATTCAAGTTTACGACTGAAAAAACTATGGAATTTAAATAAAATTTCTCATTTCTTCGCTTTTTTCGTATTCCAAATTACTTCAATTATAAGATGTAAGAATGAAGTGGTTTCAACTACCACTCTGAGTAGTTAGCGATAATCAAAGATTCGATTTCAAAATCCGAAGGGAAATCCCATATTTAGTTTATTGGATGTCATATACAGAAAATGTAGCACTACTCTGTGCTTTCATTTTCAAAGAGTTTTTATTCAATAAGCAATATGTTCATTGAAACAACAAAAAAAGTCTAATAATGACTTACTTCATAGTTTCTTTATGAAATATCGAATCTGAATCCATTTGATGCCTGTAATCGTTTTTCTTGGTATTTTTGTAGGTGTCACTTGTAATATAAACAGTTTCCTGTGAACTGTGTAATCACAGTTCATCATTGACCGAATACTCATACACTATAATAGGCAGAATGTTGATATTCTTGCTCAAAGGACCTCCTTTCTTTCTTTCTTTCTTTCTTTCTTTCTTTCTTTCTTTCTTTCTTTCTTCATATTCTTCATTTCCCGTGCTTTCGTTCTTTCTTTCTCTTTATGCAACATTTTTACCTCACCGTGTCCAAATCCAGATGCAATTTTATGCGAATTGTTTGACTTAAAACTGCTCTAGTTATGCTAATTCACCCAGATTCAAAATAAAACCAATGCTTCAGAAAGCCTGCTGACACTTCAGCAAATTGTGAATATAATTTGCAGCGCTGGAGTGAAATGTTTTTAGTTTAGTTGAGAATATTTTATAATTTTACTTACAAATCTTATAGTAAAGGTAATTCTAATGAGTTACAATGAATGTATGCCTGGATGATGTGTAAAAATTGCAACAGAATTGCAAAAGAAAGAACTTAATTAAACAATACGTTAAATAGTCAACAAAGTACATAATTGAATATACTGGTACAATCTCTTTACATTAAGTTTGTATGTATCGTACATGAATTTGATGTATAAATTCGATTCAATAATAAAGTGATTTTTGTTTTATACCGATTCGAGATAAACATGAAGCAGTATTAATGAAATACGTTAACTTATTGAGAACTCGTACCACAAATGTAGGGAAATGTTAAGAGAAACAAGAAACCAAGCGGAGGAACTTCACAATCAGTTATAAAACAACGGAAACGGCCATATTTATCAAATTTTATTTAATAAGACTTGGTGGAATTAATTTGATTGACTGAGACTTGGTTTTTAGATTAATTAAACGAAAAAAAAAATTGAATGGTCTTCAGGATTCATTCAAAATCGAAATGTGTAAAAAAATTTTAGCTCTTTCTCTAAGCAGATGAAATGCAAGTTAGACTGTTTTTTTATTTATTTCTTACAAAAGACTTATTTTGTTTTCTAGATTAATTTAAAATTGTCTACTTTCCCGCCGATTTAAAATTCTCATTCATTTCATGTTAACGAAAGTTACCAAGGATATTTTCTGATAACTTGCAAACGAAGTTTAGAGATTTTATGACAGGTCAAAGTGTGTGTAGCTAATTGGTTAATGTTGCATCGTCAAGTTGTGAAAATGTCTACCGTTGTTAAATCAGAAAGACGAAAGCAGCAATCACTGAAGTCAACTAAAAATCTCGAAAAATGGGTCGGGAGGGATTGATTAAAAAGAATGATAAGATAATTAACAATAAACTGCTGTGCCAATTTTAATCGTCTTTCTGTGTCCTCCACCTCCAACCAGCAACAACCCTCTCTCTCTCTCTCTCTCTCTCTCTCTCTCTCTCTCTCTCTCTCTCTCTCTCTCTTTGGAATTTTTCACGATTAAGAGAACTTTCGGTCGCTTCTATGATGGAAGGATTTACAGATCATCGGATGAGTTCTTAAGTGACTGCGAAGATTAGTGCTACAACCATAGACGCGTGTGATTCGTCCAGACCAATACGAAACGCGGTTGCTTCACGGAACGTAAAAACGACGCTGTTTGCTAATCACTGGAATAAAAGATGCAATCAACAAAATCGATCCAAGTGATAGAATTAACAAAGAACCCAATGCAACTTGCAATATTCTGGTGTCAAAAAGGTCAAACTAAAAATAGGAAGCATCTCATTTGCTTTTGCATTACAGTAGTTGAATAAAAAAAAAAAACTTCGATTACTCCGGAGCACAAAAAATTAGCCCAATTGTCTGCCAAATCTGCTTCTTTTATGTCATCGTTTTATCAACTGTGCCATAGTTGTTGTTCTCTTCATGAAACACTCGACTGTTTTCTGACTCTAATGTCTTTTTGAATGAAATAGGTTTTCAGATTTGATATTTGGCCGAGCATAAAATTATGAATTCATTTTTTTTTTTTTCTAGAAACATAATTTTTGAAGAAATTTTCTTTTCTTTTCTGTGAATTACAATGCATCCTTGGAAAATATCGTTGAGTGTGGTTCCCAGCTGCCTTCTCCATAGTTATGAATACAGAGTAGTCCTTCTCCTACACTAGGAACCATCCAAAACGATAGTTCAGCTGGTCATAATCGTTAACCCATATCTAGTGGAAGATGGGGTGGATTCATAGCTTTCCCAAGAGCATTTGTTCGATACTGAACGCAACAGACTAGTCCTAAATTTGAACTCGACTCATTACTTTCATATTGTGCGCTTTTAACCATTACACAGTCACATTGCCATTAACACACCAAACTACGTTTTATTAATTAGGTTCTGGTTAGTAGGAGACAATGACTCGAACTGTTTGCAGCATTTCTACTTTAACTGTCTTGTTTTTGCTTTTTGTATGCTTGTTTTTTGTTTTGTTTTTTGGTGCAAAAAATCAAGAAAGAATAACGAAGGGATAAAATGCTACCGTCTCTGTATATATATATATATATATATATATATAACAGAACAGTCTGAGACCAATAGACTTCGCTGATATCCAGTCTAGAAGAACAACTCTGAATTCAAAATCTAAGGAGGCTCTTTTGGGGAATTTGTGGCACGCTGTTCACTAGTTTTCTGTATTCTGCTCTTCAAAAACTGTGGATGGTTCTGCACAAACCTTCATCACTATAATCAAATATAGTGTATATATATATATATATATATATATATATATATATATATATATATATATATATATATATATATACAGGATAAAAGTTAAAGTTTAAAATAAAAATATAAAAATATAAAATAAACCTAAGATTCAATACTACAGAGCCTAAATATCATATATTATAATAATATTACTAATACAATAATATCAAACTCCGCTACTCAGTTTGATGCAGTGATAAGCATCAAGTAGATATAATATATCAGCCTGATGATTGTTATTGCATGAAATTCTGAGTAACGGATTTTTATATCATTATATTAATATGTAATTTTCTACCATATCACTCATTATTATCATTACATTTCAGTATGATTCTCAATCTATTTCTTCATCTCACGCTGATTCTAATTCCATCATTCATATAAATTTCATATTCATTCTTTGCGTTTTGTCTTTCTAAACATATTCATGTATTTTTTTTCTAAATATTTCCCCTTCTTTCTCTCATTTTCTCAGTTTCCAAGTTATTTTACCTTTCACTCTCCATCTTTCGAAATCATTTCTCTCTCTCTCTTTGCTTGTCGTTGATTTTTCTTACAAATCTATTTTTCTTTCGTTCTCTTTAAAAGTGTCTCTCTTTCAATCAGTCTTTGTTCTTTCCTTTCTCTTTCTTTCACTTTTTCTCTCTTTTATAAAAAAAATTATTTCTCTACTTTCGACTCATATTTTTTACGCTTTTACTTTCTAGTCTTTATGCACTAATTTCTCCTCCTTCGACATACAGACTTTCCCCGTTGTCTCTGTCTGTCTGTCTCTCTCTCTCTGTCTCTCTCTCTCTGTCTCTCTCTCCTACACACACACATGAACGAGTACGTACATAGGTACACACTACTTTTCAATAAAGTTGATCCCGAGGTACTTGTCACTATAAAAACTTCTCAAGGAACTTTTTAAAAAAATAATTCAAATCTTCCTAAAACTTTTTTCTCCCATTTTTTTCCTCCTAAAGTAACAAAATCAAATCTCAAAACACAACGCGAAATTCTTTGGGGTCAGAAGAAAATTCAAAAAGAAAACTTTTTCAAACTTTGACAATAATAATAAAAGTTTTCTGCGTTTTTCCGCATATTTCACTGAAATAAAATGTTTTCTTGGAAAAACATTCAAATGCTAGTGGTTATTAAAACAGAAAAACAATTCGACTTTCAGTATTGCTTACCTTATTTCTTTAATTTAATCTGAATGCTTTTGTAAATGCTTTATTTCCAGCAAAACTCCAAATCGTTGAGGCATTCACATTCACGTCAAAATACGAACTGTGAAGAAAATATTTAAAACTGGTAGAAAAACTACAGAGTAAAGCATTTAAATGATTAGAACTATTTTAATGCTCGCTAACAGGCAATCGCTATATTCATTCATATGGTGCATTATAATCATTGAGCTCAAATTGTCGACTAATATTTTTTTGACAAGTTATTCAGATGAGTATCCTCACGCTTGCTATATCTATCATTCCGTTTTAGGCGACGCAAAAAGCTGCAGCAAAGTCAAAGTACGAAAAAATGGGAATAATAATTCAAATTACGCATACAATAAAAATAATAACTCGTCTCAGAATTCTTTAATCTAAACTGTTACTCATAATAATAATAATAATAATAATAATATCACAACCGTTCGATCGTTGTCAAATTGAATCGATTTGTGTTGCAAAAGTTTTCTATCTTTGTGGCACGCTTGTTTTATTAATGAATTATGAATTACAATAAAATGAAATGATCATATATAACTTCGATTTAAATTTTTAACTTTTAAGCCACTAGAAAGAAATTCGTAAGTTGAAAGGACTTCTTTGCTAGTTTAAATTTAGATTTTTGATACACCACACAATCTTTACATTAGATATACGATTTCTCTTCTTTTACTTTTTTTTTTACGAAATCTGTAATGACTTATATCTTAAATTGTTCCGACTACTTGTCACTTAATTAGTTCAGTTTATCTGTTATTTAATTAGTCCCACGCACTTGGTGCTTCCAGTGCTCTGTATTCTTTCCTCATTGAACCAAGTCCGTATTTCTTTGCCTACGGTCAAAACACCAGTTCTCGTTCGGTAAACGAAGTTAAGCGGCGTCGATTGCAGTCTGTACTTAGATGAGGGACCACTTGGAAACACTGGCTGCTGTAAAAAATTTCTTACAATTCAAAATATGTTTTGCTTTAAATAACCTAGAAAACCGTTAAAAAGCAAATTACTTAATCAAAACTTTATTTTTCCATTTCCGGAAAAGTGATAGAGATAGCCAGAACAATTAAATGCCTTGTCACTATATGACCAATACATTTTTCTAAATCATTCAAGGTTTATTCACACCGTCTTTGAAGTTGCCCATTGTTTTCCTACAAGGAAATTACAAATAATCCCAAAACATTGTAAAGGCCCTTACTGAGTGGAGCATTAGAAAATGTTTCAGATGATGAGAACAACTCGGAATATAAAACCAACCAATAAAATTTAGAGCCCCACTCTAACATTATGAGGGTAGTAAGTAAGTTTCTGAAATTCTGATGAGATTTCATTTCTCATAAGACTCACTAGAAAACTAACTCTAACACAAAGAAGTATTAGGAAAAATATCAGAAAACAAAATGATGACAATATTTTCCCCTCTGTCCAAGCAATAATGACAAATTTCCAAACAGGTAATTAATATGCTCAGTTGATATTTTAATGTTTATGAGTACTATTGTACTCATAAAAAGAATTATTGCTATGGATCGGCATTTCAACCTAGGAATCGCGATTTCCAGACTGGGGAACTTTTGAAACTCCAGCGCTATTAAATTTTATAATATATATATATATATATATATATATATATATATATATATATATCAGAATCAAATTTTGTGCTTTGCCATCGTCTGAAGATTGTACGATTGCCTAGAAAAAAAAAAACGCGTGTTCACATGAAACACCGAAAACTAAGTATCTTTTTTATTCTATACTATATCATATATATATATATATATATATATATATATATATATATATATATATATATATATATATATATATATATATAGGAGAGTATCAAAAGAAGAAATTCAACAAAAACACTTCTTATGTAGAATGTGGGGAAATTGCAGCAGTCTGAAAGGCAATGTAGATTTTGACTCAGATACAGCATGTGTATGATAGGGTTAGCCAATATCCTAATAAAATTTTCATAGTTTTAGGCCATCTTGTAATATAGAAACACTTCATGCACTTTTGCTCGAGCTTTAGACGATGACACATACTGTGATAAAATTCAGTGTGGAGAAACATTCCAGTGAAAACAGTTGTCATACCAAAAAGATATTGTTCAATAAAAGCCTTTGTGTAGATAGCGGGCCTTCGAACAGCTAGATAGTTATTTCGGAAAATTGCTGTGTAGTGGACATGACGGGCCGCTTGTTTCGATGTTGAAAACAATGGTTAAATTAACAATCTATCCTTAAACCTGGTTCTAGACGGCTGCATAATATATACGCATTATGAAGACAACAATTTCAAAACATATGTTGGCAATCATTTACTATGAGCAGGACCAGAGGTACATGTGCCTTACACTTACGCTACATTAACAACGTGAGCGAATCCAGTGGTATTGCGAGTGGATCTCCAGCGTGGTCGAATGGCCTTCTGTACCGTTCAGCTTTGAGAACATGTTTTAGATTCATGCAAACGATGGATGTTTGTGTATATACCGTATTGGAGAGCAACTTCATTCAAACTGGAATCATGGTGTGTTGTTGCATTAGACGGGTTGCATGCTACAGCCATCGCCCGATTTTTGTGTT